TGTTTGTGTGTGTGTGTATGTGTGAAGACCTCCCCTCACAACTCCACACACGCGCACACACACTGACTCTGATAGGGAGATCCTACGACAACCCGAGTGGAAACGATATCTATAGATTAACCACCCCCCCAAAAAAAATAAAGTAGTAAGTAAGAAAACATTTTTTTTTTCTTTTTCTTTTTTCTCTTCCTCTACATTTCAGGAAAACGATGGCACACAATGCAAAACTCATTACACTCTGGGATTTTGTGACCAAACTCTCTTGAATATGTATGCCGATTGTTATTCCGGTATAAGGCTAAAAATGCATATCGGATTTAGAACTGGTATAAACTCTCCCTTGTGGGTGGACTTCCTGAACAACATGGCGGCATGGGTTGAGAACATAGTTTAGGAGAATGAATGGTCTGGAGTATATCTATCACATGCAATGGAGTTGATATGCATTTGTTAAAGAGGCATCTTTTTTGCATATGTGTCTGTCTGTCTATCTATCTAACTATCTATTTATCTGTCTACTGTCTATCTATTTATCTATTTACCTGGCTATCTAACTATCTATCTACCTACCTATCTAAATATTTATCTATCTACCTTTTTATCTATTTATCTATCTACCTACCACTCTATATATTTATCTATCTACATATATACCTATCTCTCTGTCTATCCGTCAATCTGTCTGTTTAAATATTATGAATCTCTCGTGAAGAACTTCTTAAGTATGCTCTTTTGTATGAATATTTCAAAGGGTGACTAGTCATGTAACGTGACGCCCGTTCTTAGCGTGACAGTGCAAGACTTCCAGGTGAGCTTCGAACTCTCACTCAGCGTGATAAAGTGTGACAGAGACTGAGTTCTTGCAACAACTAGAAGCTCCATAATTACTTACCTGGACACTAAGTTGGGACGCCAGGTGAGGGCTGCGTCTGCGCTCCCATCCCCTTTCCGCTGTGTGGCGCCCTTTCTCTCTCTATCTACATACCTTTCTATCCATATATCTATCTATCTGCATATTTATACATATACATACACACACACATTTATTCACACACGTACACATGCATTTACGCACACATATACAATCAGACACAAGCATGCATACATATTTACACATACACGCATACACACACACACACACACACACACACACACACACACACACACACACACACACACACACACACACACACACACACACACACACACAAACACACACACATACACGCTCCCAAACAAACAAACACAGAATATCACATCTAATACATTCATAAATTGGCAAACAAAACGGCTATGTTGTGGCTTGTGAAAATTGGCATTACAACTTTAGCGGTCTCTTAAAACGCGACGCAACTTGGGCCATTATTTTCGCGTACCCTCGCAGTTGAACAAGATAATTAAGAACAAAATAAAAGAGGTTCAATGTAATGTGTTGCGTAATGTGCTCGGACGCGGCTTCAAGAGGCTATAGACAACTGACTGAAAGTATGAAAGCCTTTTTTGGACGTATAAAACATTAATACCAACAGGCGTACATTTCCACAAAATGGGTATAATAGGGAAAACACACACAAAGAAAAGCAAAATATCCGAAAATGTACAATTGTTTTTCCTTTTGTTTCTCGTTAAATGTCAACACGAAATGATTTAATGTGATTTAAATCTTGCTCTCGATCGCTAATGACGTTTACTTACATATGTTCAAAGTAATTTAATCGCGTCGTATGAATTATTACTGATGACTGGATACAATTTTTTTTTTCTAAGCACTGATGTAGCATTATAACTCCGAGAACTCTGTAATGCAACTGTTGTAAAGTCATATTTTGAATGAGATTATGAAGGCTTTTCAAAAGTGCTTATTACCCGACTTCTCAAATTCCGTCGCTTAATCCCAAAAATGACTTAAATCCTGCTAAAAAAAAAAAGGCGCTACTGGTGTCTCAGGCTCATTCATTAATGTCTTAGAGGTTAATTGTGCGATTTGTAACCTGTCTTTCTCCCGCAACCTGTGATCACTTCTACATTTTTTTCTACTCTTTGGCGTTCGTTCTATTTCCTCTCTTGTTATCTTCTCCTTCTCCCCTTCTTTGTTCTTACATGGTATTCCCTTCCCCCCCTTCTTCCTTGTTCAGATCTTCCTTATTCTCGTCTCGTTCCTTTCTTTTCGTCTCCTTCCACCTTCCTCCCTTTTTTTTCTTCTTTCCCTTTCCACTACATTCTTGTTCTCGCCTGTTCTTCCCACTGCCCTTCTTTGTTCTTGTCTCCTCTGCCTTTGTAATGAGCACGTGGAAAGTGAAGTTAGAATGACCAAAAAATTCGTCTAGAAACCACCCTTTGTATACCTCACTTACTTACCTCTTATGTATACATCATTTTTAGTCTTTAGCTATGTAAGATAATAGTACTTGGTTATTTTCTCAGAAAGATGATGCTTCATTTTATTATTTTTGTATAAAGTTCTATATATCTTATTTCACTTTACCCTACGGAGAATAAGGATACACTGTTATATTTCTCAGGTACTTATTATATTA